CATCTATTCAGCCTATCTGTTTTTCTTGATCCTTATTAATCCACAATATCTGGTGTCAGAAGTGGGATACGAATCCACGCCTACATACAGGACAGAGAGACAGCTTTATGTATCTCTACAGTTTGTCTAGGGCAATACCATTAGAGGTAGCAGACACAGGTTCTAGGTGAATACTCATAGAATCATTAGCTTATGAGAATGCAATTCCACAATGCAAACAGTGCTTTGCTCTTAGAAATCAGATCAGCACCCTTGGATGAATGGGTCCTATATATAGCCAACATTGAGTATAACGACTATGACACTGAAGCTTGGGTAGAAGTAGCCATCTCCAAAGGTTTAAAAAGATATCAAAATATCAGATGTTTTAATTGTGACAGGATAGGAAATATAAGAAGAAATTGTAGGCAGAGTATTCCTAGGAGTAGTACTCCTAGGAATGGACTGAACAGAAGGCCTCAGCCTTCTGGATTATGTAGAAGGTATGGCAAAGGCCGACACTGTACCAATGAATATAGCTCAACCAGAGACAATCAAGGAAACCCTTTACAATCAGGGAACTCTTTGGGGGCCTCTCGAAGGTTCTCATGTCAAAGGTGATCTCTGGTCATTCCCAGTCACAGCAGAGGACAATCTTCCCCAGGATGATTAGAAAATCCAATGCCTATTGTAAAAAATCATACCACTCTGGATGACAAACTAGCTACGGAAGGTGAATCAAACATGAAAGAAGGAAACAAACAAACAAACAAACAAACAAAAAGTGACAAACCAGCTGCTTAGGAAAATCAGTGTGAAGAGTGGCATCGCATAGACCAGCAGGCAGAGGCATGCCCTGAGGTGGGACAGGAGGAGGTCTGCTCCTTCTGAGTGTAGAAGTTCAGGGGATGGAGGGAAGCTGCCAAGCAACCTAGACAGAGAGAGCCACCAGGGTGTAGATCGTGGCCATCTACAATTTGAACTTGAATCTGAAAAGTACCTTGACTCGGTCGCATGTAGTAATACTCATTCTGAAGTCCATCCACAGCTTGGGGTTGTGTCCTGAGACCACGGGTATACTAGACAGCAGAGTGGAAAAGCGGCAAGGCCCCTGAGGGGCTAATGGCCTAAAGACCTCAGGTGGCTTCACCGGTGGCACCGGTGACTGTCCAGCAGATCTGAATTGTGTCTCCCACCTTGACACAGCAAGGTAGCTGACCTGCAGGTGGAATCTTTCATCCCAAGTCCTCTTTCCACCCTATAACCCGCCCCACCATGACACACACACACACACAGACACACAGACACACACACACACACACACACACACACACCCCATGAGCGCATAGTCCCTACAGTGACGGAAGGACAGAAAGACTGGCCCTGCACGTGTTCTATAAAAGGACGATTCTGTCCCTGGTGATGTCTAGCTATTTCTTTTAATCCTAGTGGCCTCCACCAGTCTTGAGTTAACTGCCAGCCTCCATCTCCCATTGGTGGGCTGGGTCAGGCCCCCATCTCTCATTGGTGGGCTAGGTCAGGTCCCCATCTCCCATTGGTGGGCTGGGTCAGGTCCCCATCTCCCATTGGTGGGCTGGGTCAGGTCCCCATCTCTCATTGGTGGGCTGGGTCAGGCCCCCATCTCCCATTGGTGGGCTGGGTCAGGTCCCCATCTCTCATTGGTGGGCTGGCTCAGGTCTTATCAGTAACAAGGGCTGTCAGTGCCTCTTCCCAGTCCATCCCAGGCTCTCCAGGGTGAGCAAGGACAGGCTGGCTGCGTTCTTCACCTGGCTTTGACCCAGACATCCTATGAGGGTGGCACTTCAGTCACTCTGTCAGGCTCTTGTCTGTCTTATACATGGTGTCAATAAATGTAAAAGCCCTTGGTTCAAAGTGGCTTTTGGTATAGCATTATGCAAAGGTTTCAGGTTTAGGGCTCAAGGGGAAACTGAGGCACATTGTCTTCTTGGATAGGAGGAGGTTTATTAGAAGGGTTACTGGCACCATGGCCATACAGACTTACAGACAGACAGCATGCTGGGGGTTCTCATGAGTGTGCAGGTCCACAGGGCAGAATAGGGGCTCTCTTCTTCCAGGTCTCAGAGGCAGGGGGAGGTTTTACATATTCAGGTTGTCTGATTCCTTGGCTGGGCAGAGGGGAAATCGATAAGCCAAAGGCCAACTCTAACCTCTGCAGTGGGAGAGGAAGAGAAGCCACAGGCAACTTTGCTGGCAGGGATCAGGGGATAACCAACTTCCCTGTCACCAAGGAGGAAGCCTCGTCCACAGAGTGCTGAGTGTCCCTTGTCTGTCATGTAGGCTCTGACTCTCATCCGTGACTCTGCCATGCAGTTGTTCCTGTCTGTCCGTCCATGGTGCTACTAACATACCTTTTAATCCCCAGTAATGGCTCAGTGTCCCCCTGAACCACCCACCCCATCCAACACTTGACTCAGCCATTCACGCAGCTGACTTTGTCCTTGGCAGCTCCTTCAGCTCTGCCTTGTGTTTGCACTGCTGGAAGCTAGCTGCCCTTTGTTGGAGCCTGTGTTCACCCACATTACGTGACTCCCTATCTGAACTGGTGTTTGCTTTCTCCTCCTGTCCTCGGCAGCCCCCACCTGGCAGCATTGTCCTTAACTACCCCAGGGTGGCCGCTGCAGACCACCTGCCCATGGGGTGCTCCCTGCCAACCCCGTTTTCAGAGACTTCTTTCCCCATTAGGGGCACGAACACCTCTCCCCTCTGCCCATTTGCCTCTTGCAAAGGGGCTGGAATCCTGGCTTCTCCTGAGTTATCAGAGGCAGCCAGGGCCTAGAGGACAAAGAAAGGGCTTGCAGTTGAGCACTGAACAGGAAATGTCGGGGGGGGGGGGAGAGAGAGAGAGAGAGAGAGAGAGAGAGAGGGAAATAAGGAATGGGAGCTGTTTTATTTGCTGTTGCAGGGAGGATGGGAACAGGAAGGCGTTACAAGGAGGGGAAGGAACCTCGATCCTGTGCTCCCAGTCACTGAAATGGGACATGTGACACATGTGTGTGACGTGTCTGCTACAAGCAGAGCCTACTGGTTGATGATAACGGACAAACTCTGGTTGGGGGAATTTCTGGTCAGAAGGAAAAGGCCTAGGAAAACAAACCCTATTTGCATTTGACACAGAATCCCTGACTTAGCAAAGAGGAAGTGGTTTCTACGCATGTCTGTCTGGGGTTTCGTGGGGTACACATGGGCATGGGAACTGACGTAGGTACCACTTTTCTGTCCCGTTCTGGAGCAAAGCTGCCCATGCCTTGCAGACAAAACTCGGGCCATCCCTGTCGTCCAAAGGAGCAGGTAATTGGGCAGTTTCCTAAGAGACTGCCCTAGAAAAACTTCAGGTCAGTGCTCAGAAAAAGAGGGGCTTGATTTCCCACCCCCCCAACTGGTGATAAAGGCAAAAGGGTAAAGCCACAGATACTTCTAGAACTGGCCTTTGTGTCTTTCTTCCAGCACAGGCTCAGGTTTCTGAGGCAAGCGTGTAGAGCCTGAGTGGTCTATGTTCGCAACTTTCCTCGTCTTCTGTTGCTCCTAGAAGACTGGAGCTGTGAACCTTAGCTAGGAGACCTCTTGTCACAATATCCTCACTCTCATGAAGGCACTCAAGACTCCCCAGTCCACACACTCATAATCATAGTGCTTAAATCAAAAGGGCCATGGCTAGTGACATCTGGAATCCATCTACAGTTGCTCAAGCATGGATCATCCCGAATTAAAGAATAAAAATTTGGTCTCAAGACCCAGGGAAGGGCTTGGTCTGCTAAATCCCAGCTTGGTACCTGAGAACTCTTGGGCCGTCCCTACCTACAGGAGCCTTGTCTATCAGAGCATTTCCTGCTTCTGAGTCAGGGGCTGAGAGCCTGGAAGCATAGCAACCAGGGCCATGGTGACAGACACCACCAGAAAAGGATGGCTATGAACAATTTGAAGGTCAGGGAATGGAGAGTTTGGAGGCTTTGTGCTTCGAAGTTTGCTTTGTAATGTGTGTCCCTTAAATATTAGTTGGTTGAACTTTTAAGGAACGTGTGCCATCATATCCCACCCAACTGATGCTTGGGTAAGGAAATTTGAAAGCAAAGTATTTAGGACCGAATTCCACTAAACTAAGGTTTAAAAAGTCTTCATGCTCTCACAGCAGCTGCAGCTCCTGCCCTGTAGGGGCCAGGAGGGGCAGCAGGTGCCTGTGGCAGCTAGTACACACCTGTACCTAGCTGCTGGGAGGCTGAGGCAGGAAGATGACTTGAGCCCAGGGCCCTGAGACCAGACTGGACAGCATAGTGAGACCTCGTCTACTAACAAGTTCCAGTTTCATAGGTAGGGTGGGTGGTACACGCCTACACTCACCCTGGGGAGGCTGAGGCAGAAGGGTTGCAAGTTGAAGGCCAGCCCGGGCTACAGAGGGAGAGCCTGCCTCAAAAACCAAACTCTCTCTATAGCATTGAGATTCTGAGCTCTTCTGAAAGAACCTGAAGACCTTCTCTCTCCAGGGATTCGGAGGGTCCCAGAGCTGGTGAGATCTAAGGTGGTATGGATGCAAGAAAACTGGATGTATGGGTGTGAACTGGGTGGTGGTGTGTGTCAACTTGACACACACCAGAGTCATCGGAGGAAGGAGCCTCAGCTGAGGAACTGTCTCCGGGAGACCCAGCTGTAAGGCGTTTTCTCAATTAGTGATCAATGAGGGGGTGGTGGTGGTGGGCAGCTATGGTGGGTGGAGCCATCCCTGGGCGGGTGGTCCTGGCTTCTATAAAGCAGGCTCAGAAAGCCATGTGGAGCAAACCAGTAAGCAGTACCCTCCATGGCCTCTGCATCAGCTTCTGCCTCCAGGTTCCTGCTCTGTGTGAGCCCGTCCTGACTTCCTTCAGTGATGAACAGCAAGGCTGAAGTGTAAGCCTAATAAACCCTTTCCTTTTTGGTCATGGTGTTTCATTGCAGCAATAGAAACCTTAACTACAACAAGGTGACTGAGACACGTTCACACACACACATTTATGTATATGTTAAAAGAACAAAACATTTTAATTCTTTTTCCATGGCCACAAGCTTTCTTCAGTAAAGTTATACCTGTATAACTACCAGGTGACAGCATGGTTAATGCTTCAGGACAGGTGGTCCTGGATTGACTCAGGACAAGTCACAATTGTGTACTAACAACCAACTTAACCACAGCTTGAAATGTAGTTTGTCCCAGCTGCAAAAGCCACATGACACCGATCATGCATCTCACCCCCAATACAGAATTACAGAACACACACACACACGTATGTATTTAGCACAGTAAACGCGCTCATTATGCACTCTAACATAGAGCACAGGAATACACGCTATGGAGTGTGGCCCTCGTGTCTCCACGGGCAAGAGCTGGAGGGTTAAACAGAAGCCCGTGGTAGGACGGCAGGGAATCTGGAGTGAGCCGCTCTGCACATGACTTATCCCACTGTTGAAAACGGTTGCCTCTGGCCAGTGAGTGGCAGGTACAGTCTCATAAACAGTGGTATGTCCTAAGAGCAGAGACGTCACTCTGGATCTGAGTCATTACCTAGAAATCAGAACGAGCCAGCTCCATAGAAGGCTTTGGGAGTCAAGTGTAACAGTGCCCCTCAGACACTTGCACACCCACACCCTGTGCCCAGGGAAAGTGCACTTCCGATGGCAGATATAAAAATAGATTGGCACGCTCTTGACACAGGGAGAGGGCGCTTTCAGCAGCTTCCCCCAATCCTGCACGGCACGCTTCCAGGCAGAGCGTCTCACACGTGCCTGGGAGGGAGGGAGAGCGGTCACGACTGAGGTCTGGTTGTGGGGACCTGGGAGGGTCCCCATCATCCCCAGCACAAGCCTTCTCTTGCTAAGCCTGAGCAACGTCTCCCAGCAAGTTCCAGGTTCGGCTTCTCCATGAAAATGAAGCATCAAGGAGACTCAGGTTGGTGGGCCCAGCCCCACTCTCCGGTAGTAAGGGAGGCTCCATGCACTCGGAGGAAGCAGTCCCTGGCCCTCCTGGGGCCTGTGCTAGGAGCTCTGGATCAGGCGTCTGTAGTGGGGCATGACTTCATGCTCTGGCAGATGAAGTGCAAATTCCAAGGCCACCAACACTGGAAATTCAAAGGCAATCAGCTCCCTCCTATTCAGTCGGAACTTCTCTTCCAGTTTCTGCAAAGACAATAGAACCATTTTAGTTTTGCATTTAACAACTTAGGCTTTTTTGTTTGTTTTTCACAAGTGCAACTTTTCTACCAGCAAGCTGATTGAGTGTTTATCATGGATGCATCTGCTCTCCCTTGCTGTAACAGAAAACCCGACACTGGGTGACTCTAAAAGAAGAGAGGTTCTAGAGGTCGGGCAGCTGCATCTGGGAAATGTGTTGTGCTCCATCTCAGGGAGAAAGGCAAAGGAGCAGGCTGGGTCCATGGCAAGCAGGAATAAGGATGGACAGCTGCACGCCACACTCCTCATACACTACTTTTGTAACTACTCTAGTTTCAGGACACATCAATGCTCAAAAGAAGGCACAAGTTCTCCTTAGTGTCCCCTCCCAACTCCCCTGCAATGGAAATCAAATTTCAGTGTGAGTTTCAGGGGTGAGAAAAATATGCAAAAATCCTGTCTGTCCCTTAGTCCTGGTGGTGCAGACAGCGAGCCTTTCCCGGCGGCCAGCGATCTGTCTGGAGATGCATGACAATTCCATTTAATACTCTAAAGACTCTTAAAGTTGATGTTGCATTTATGACTACTTACAGGTGATCACAACTCAAGAGGTCAAGATTGTTTATCTACAGTCATGCAGATAGGAAACTGCTGTCCTGAAGTGCAACCTAACTGGAATTCTTTTTGTTTGTTTGTTTTTTGAGACAGGGTTTCTCTGGCTATCTTTGAACTCACTCTGTAGACCAGGCTGGCCTTGAACTCACAGAGATCCACCTGCTTCTGCCTCCCCAGTGCTGGGATTAACGGCATGTGCCACCCCCATGGGGCTCTAACTGGGATTCTTCGCACCTGTTATAACTGAGTCAGGCTTAGCAGTCAGAGCACGCTGGTCAGCAAGCCTCACAGGCCATCTTTGTGTGGCCCAAGATGAGGACTTGAGATTCAGCCTATTCCTTTCACTTGTGAGGACCCACATCCCTGTGAGGCTGTCCCACATCTGGATAGCTGAGTGGCCAATGGCTCCTCACCTGCCCACTCAACAATGCAGGCTTCCAGGATTAGAAACAGAAGAGTGGAGAATGGAAAGTCCCCCTTTTTACTAGAGCACTCAGTCTCAGCTTCGGTTCAGCTTTTGGCCAACGAACTATCTCACTAACAGCGGCGGCTGACAGTCCTGAGGCAAGGCTGGGATGGGATCTCATGTTAGGGTGTGACTTCCAGATCATAACTGTTGGCCTGTGTTTACACCATCAGCTTCAATTCATACACATCTGATTAAATGTGTATGGTATAAATACACTTAGAACTGTATTAATGTTACTTTCCGAGGATGCATTAGTTATGTGCATATATGTATATTTTCCACTTTATTCCACTTTATCCCAAGTAGATCCTGAAACTACAGTATCACATCTTCTAGATTTGTAATAAAATAGTATATCTGTACTTACTTGCCCAATTTACAGGATAAACAACTAAAAGAGAGTAACTATTCTAGTTACACAAACATGTTTTCTCTGTTGCTTATTCTGGGCTTAGCAATGCAATGCCTGCATGATGAGATGAAGGAACTGTGATGTAGGCTGTTATAGTGGGTTAGTCAGGCATACACACTATGATGCTTGGGTAGTCAGTCTAGCAAACGCAGTGACTATGGGTGCTGGTGTACACAGGACTCAGGGACAATTCACATCTGACCTGGGACGGCAGCTTTCATCACAGTACTTTAGACTGAGGCACAACCTAAAATTTACAAATGGTCTATTTCAGGACTTTTCTACACAGCATTTGGGGCTGTGGTTGACTTGGGTAACTGAAACCAGGAAGGGCCAGTGGACAAGGGGGACAATGTATAAGCCCATTGATGCTCGGCTTGGATTTGGTACCCAATAATCACTTCCGTGTTCATGTATCTGCTGCACACAAGACCCTGTACCGTTTCTGAAAACTATGTAAACTATGACCTAAATAGTCTTTCTTAAAAACATATACCAAATACCTTCCATATTCTCTTCCTCACTAATGCTGCACAGGACATCATACCAACTGCCTGTTCTGTGCCTGTGACATGGTGGCCTGTTTGTTGCCCCCGCCTTTCCCAGGCACACCCTTCCCACTGCCCCAACAGTTTAGCCACTGCCCTGTGAACCTGATATGACATCCTGGCAGATCTGCCCTGTGGCTCAGGATTGCTTATCAGGGTCTGAGACTCCTGCCCATAACCCTGGTGATTCCAGCTCCTCTGAGGTCTCAGTCTGGAAGCCCTTTCTTGGAACCAGGTCTGCAAGGTCTCCAGAGTGAACCACAGAGGCTCAGAACTTCAGCAGTAAGCTGGACACAACCACTGTGGTTGGACAAAAGCTGGCTAACTTAACTGTGCGTGCCAGGCTTTGAGCATTTATAAACACTGACACTGATTCCTTCAATGCTCCAGTCGGCACCAGTGGACAACCTCGAGGATGCTTTTAAAAAGCAAGCTAATCCATCAAGAACCCCCTCTCACACCAGCTCATGCTAATGAGGCCACTGTCTACCTGCAGGCAGCCCAGCACTGACAGGCGTTCTTCAAACTGGCCATTGCTAAGTCTGCACACCTGCCCGGAGAGCACCCCTTTCTGGAAACAATAATGAAGGCTTTTGCTCACAAGTCCTTCCCTTTCCTTCCACCCCACGGGATTCTGCTTATATGCACCAAATGTGTGTCCCTCAGAAATTAAAGTTGTCGTTGGCCCCAGTGAAGTAAAGCCTGAGGATAATTAGGCTGAGATGAGTTGGGTGACCTCTATGACCTTGAAGGAGACAAGATTCAGACAAACAGGTACACGTAAGCCAGAAGGGACCTTGATCTAGTCAGCTTTTACAACGATGTGAAGTCAGTTTCTGTTGTTTAAGGCGCCCAGCCCATAGTGGGGCTACAGCAGCCCACAGGAAGGACCTTCCTTTTGGGGACTGCGAGCAATAACACATTTTTTTCAATGGCAGTTGGCTCTTGATCTGTTTTTCTTTTTTTATTTATACACTACAGCCCCCACACACATAACATATAATACACATTTGCATACCTTCCCAACTTTTTTTTTCTTTTTTTCTGAGACACGGTCTTGCTAGGTTGCCTTGGCTGGCTTTGAACTTCAGTCCTCCTGCCTTAGCCTCCCAAGTAGCTGGGTTTACGGGCCTATACCACAAAGCCTGCCTGCATTCTATGTTAAAAACAGGTGTTCATAAATCCAACCTAGGCAGTCAGCGTGTCCTTTGGAAGTAAGACCACATCATCCCATTGAACGCAGCATTGCTGACAGGTGTGCGCCAGCCATGATGCTTGGAAGACTATTGTGGTTACCATGTGTGGAGGTTTGAAAGAAAATGGCCCCAAAGGGAGTGGCACTATTAGGAGGTGTGGCTTTGCTGGGGTAGGTGTGGCCTTGTTGGAGGAAGTGTGTCACTATGTGGGTGGGCTTTGAGGTCTCCTATGCTCAAGCTACATCCAGCTTCACAGTTCACTTCCTGTTGCCTGCAGATTAAGATGTAGGGCTAGCAGCTACTTCTCCAGTACCACCATGTCCCACTATGATGATAATGGAATAAACCTCTGAAACAGTAAGCACCCCATTAAGTGTTTTCCTTTATAAGAGTTGCCATGGTCATGGTGGCCTCTTCATAGATATAGAAACCCTAACTAAGACACATGGCTTCTCTGGCTGTGAGAATAACTTCATCACCCATACTATCTGAGAAGGGTTTTAGGTCATGACCCTAATGATGGCTTTTTAATCTCAGCCATTAAGGTCCATCTGCCTGCCAGGGGACCCTGGAATGAGCACATACTCCCACCTCATCAAGCTTCAGCTCACTTACATCAATCAGATGCTTGACTTCATGCTTTTTGAGGTCACTTCCGACCTTGGCTGCTAACAGCACACATGCTCCAGCGCAGAGCTTCCGGTTCTGCTTGTTCAGTTTCCCCTTGAGGGCGAGCTTCTCAAAGTAGACAAAGGCCATGGCCACCGTGGCCTCCTCAAAGCCACAGTCCTCCTGGGCAAGCTTCCGCATCTCTCTCTTCAGACTGTAGGAAGACAGGAAGCAGGGAGTCCTGAGAGTGCTCAGGGGACCCACAAGAAGACTATGACACCATCCCCCACAAGAAGACTATGACACCATCTGGAAAGCATTTTCTCTACTTCCGTCCCATAGGGGGATGAGGCCAAGATGAATTCACATTAGATGTGGGAGTAGACCATGTAGCTGGGGCTCTGGCCCCTCTGTAGGCCTAGTGACACAGACACAGCATGGCCCAAATCACCACTTCCAAGGATTACGGGCACAGCTCCACTGTACATAGTGCATAATCTGAATAGGGGCGGGGCTCTTCAATGCGAACAAATGGACCCATGCTTATCTTAGAGCTATTTCAAGTGTCTAAGTTCTGATGATTACTGATTGGACTATGTCACTAGGGTCCTTGGGAAAGCTGCCTAGCAGATGGATGCTTAACTTTTTTTTTTACTCTTTGGTTTAGAGCATGCCAGAATCAAGTCTACACCCAGCATCTCAGAGGCCATGTTGGAGGTATGGTGTGGACCTCTAGCTTTGCAGGATGAGTGGCTGGATATGTCAGTCACCACAAACCTATCCAATAATCTGTATGGGAAACCTAGGCCTGTCTCTCTTGTTTTAGCTATTTTGGTGGCTGTAGTTGTCCAAAGATAGGGCCTTGAAGTTATGTCTAGGTAGGTGGAGTTACCTGATGCCCCAAGGTGCCAATTCCACACTCTTCTGTTATGCCTGTGTCCCAGAAAGCTGAGACCTGCATGCTTCCCACTAGGGTTTGACTGTGGTTTTAGACATGACTCATGGATCCTAGGCTGGTTTCATATTTCTGTCTCCCAAGTGCTGGGACCACAGGATGGTGTGATCATGCCTGGGGTGAGTAGTGAAGGAGGGAGCTTGATTCCAAGGCTCTGCATGGAAGCCCAGCTCTATCCTCTCTGCCTTTTATAACCTGTTTTTGCTGAGCTGGCAGACAACATGAAACAGTTTTTCTCACTGAAAGAATGTCTCCGAGAGCTGTGTCAGCTAGTGGGTCTGTCAGGAGTTTGGCCTGATGCCTGATGCGGGCTCTCCCACAACATCCAGGCACAAGTCAGGCAGCAGTGGGAAGTGTCTAGTGAACTGAACATGCCTATATTTCTTTTCCTGAGGAACAAAGAGAACTATAATACAGTGGAAGCTTAGAGTGGTCTGGAGGGGGGCTGGCAGGAGAGTTCAGGCTGACACACGGCTCCCATACCTCCTGATTTTGCTGAGTGTTAACTTGATGTGAGGAAACTTTTCCTTGAAGGTTTCGTTCATGTCCTTCTTGAGATCTGAGGGCTTCACGTAGTCAATCACCGTGGTCTGTAGTGGAAGAGGCAAGAAATGTCACTGCAACCATGGGTCAGATGTACTAACAATGCATGCGTTAGGCCTGAAGCAGCCAGTAGACCATCAGCAGAGGCCTGCTGCTGTCCACATAGGTCAGGATTCAAAGGCCCCACCTCAGCCCCTCACTGGCCCCTCACTGGCTTGGCTTTGAGAGACTCAAATTACCCAGCATATCACATCCTGCCTCCCATGGTTATTTTGGGAACCACAAGAGTTGGTCTGTACAATTCCTTGCACATCATAGATACCCAACATATTCGATTTTAAATATTTTTAAAAACATAACAAAATATGCATAAAATTCACCATTTTAAGGCACCATCTAGTGACATAAGGACATTCACATTGTTATGCACCTGATACCACTACTCTGCAGGATGTCTCCCTGTGTACTTTCTTGAGCAAGCATCATTTTTTGTTTGTTTGTTTTTGAGGCAGGGCTCTAGGCAGTCACGTCTGGCCTTGAACTCTGCATTCTTCATGCTGGGGTTACATATGTGAGAACCCTGTTCAGACACCTTTTAAAACATTAATATGTGTGTGTATACACATGTACATGATTGCGTTTGCCGTGTTCCATGTGTGCATGGGTGGTGGTGGTCAGGCGATTACTAGTGAGAGTTGGTTCTCTCGTCCTAGCATGTGAGTTCAGGAAATCAAAACCTGGTTGCTGGGCTTGCTGGCAAGCATCTCACCCACCCCCAGCTGACTTTTGTTTCATGTAACTAGAACAATGTATTTGCTTTTCTACCATGGGTTTCCTTCGGTGTTGATGCTTTAAGGTTCAGCCGTCATTGTAGCTTGTGTATGAATTTCCCGGCAGGGGCAGAGTGACATTCCATTATATGTATGGAATGGTGACATTATTATTATCAGTCCCTTGCTTAAATTCTGCCCATTCCCAAGACAGGTTCCCTTGAACCCCTTGCTCAGTGCTCTGCATACACCCCTGAATTTGTATTTTGCTGGGTCGTACCAGGTAGTCTTGGCTCATCCCAAAAGTGCACCTGCCAAGGCCAGCACTCTTTAGGCTGACAACAGAAGTCACTTCCGTAGGTCACTGCTTTCCATGGGACTGGATGATATGGAGGCCACCCAGACCCATGCATGACCCACTACCAGCAAAATCCATCCAATAGTTCTTAGTGACCCTGACTGAAGTTGGCAGGCTTCTCTGAACACTTGGTTTGATGTGACTCCTAATGAATTTTTAGATTTTGGCGGTGCTGAGAACTGAACCCAGGGCTTTGGATATGCCCTGGCAAGCGCTATACCACTGAGCTACACCCCAGCTTGACAAGACTTAGAATAGGCACATGAACTGCACTTGGTGGCAGCTAAAAGCCACATACAGCCCAGTGAAAAGTGATCTCATGGCCATTTCCTTCTCTGGAGCATAAATCCTGATTATAGCAATATTAACTCGATTCTGCTAACCCAGATCACATTTGTGACATTCGGGGAGATGAGAAATCAGATGAATAACACCAAGCCAGGACATCCAATTCAAATGAGCCTTTGAATTTTCCAACAGGTTTGTCCAAACACTTGAGTCAGTGAGAGGCCCAGGTCCTTCCTTGTGGTCACCACTACAGCTGCCTGGGTGTGGGATATAGGAAAGGACACCTAACCCTTCTCCTGAAGTTTCTGAGTGCACCCCACCTCAACCCACAGGGGAGGAAGCAGAGGCCTGTGTGGTGCAGAAGCTTGTCCCAACCTGGACAAGCTGCAGGCCCCCCATACACACTGTCCTCAGACAATGAGCAGCTGACAGTAGATGCTTTCTCATGAGGCTGTCACAAAGGGGTGTGGATGTAGACAAGGCCAAAAGAAGTGGTCACCTTAGCAAGTCAAAGTCACCCAGCCTCTGGTCCAGGAGCCCAGATATCTTTACCATAACTTATATCTTGTTGACTTATATGTCTGAAGTCCAGGGACTTGTATATCAAATTATCTTCACTAACTAACATCCCTTTCCAGTTTACTCTGTGATGCTGCATCTTGGAACTCATCCAGCCACGTTCCCTAGAGCACAGATTGCTTTCCCTATGACTAGCCTTCCCTAAACATTCTGCTTCATTCTGGAAAGTTTTACTCTATTATAAATGCCCAGAAACACACACTTATGCTTCCCAATTCCCTTGCAGCTAGGATGACAAATACATTTCTGACTGGAAAGGAGGGGGCTCTTCTGTTATTTCTGCTATCAAGTGATTGAGAAGTTCTGGCTCACTGGCTTTAGATGTCTATTTTATAGACCACAGCAAGGGCAGCATGGTCTGCAGCCAGCAGTAGTGGTAGTGGGTTCCCAATTGTGGTAGCTGCCTTTTGGTAGTGGTAGATAGCCCTGGTTGCTGGTCAGAAACTAGAGTCCTGATCCCTCAGCTTAAGCTTCCTAGGTAGCTTGGAGATCATTCTTATTCTGTTAGTGTTCCTAAATATTCTTTGGTTAGAACCTACCCTGTAATAACCTTTCCCCCTTTGAAAGGTTGTGTGTCAATGGAATATTACTCAGCCGGGGGGGGGGGGGGGGCACGACCAATGGAATCTTGAAATTCACAGGCAAATGGAAGGAACTTGAAGAAACAATCCTGAGTGAGGTAACCCAGTCACAAAAGGAGGAGCAGTATGGTATGTACTCACTCATATATAGAGCAAAGGATCACCAGCCTATAATTCACACCATCAGAGAAACTAGGATGCAAGGTCCCTCACAGAAGGGGAAAGGAACAAGATCTCCTGAGCGTATTGGGAGTGGGCGGGGCAGTGAGTGGAGAGGGAGTTAGGAGAAAGAGAAGGGGAGGAGAGAACATGTGGAACCAGGAAGATTGAGTCGGGGACGAATAGACGAGAGCAAAAAGAGATGCCATAATAGAGGGAGCCATTATAGGTTTGAAGAGAAAACTGACTCTAGAGAAATGTTCAGAAATCTACAAGGATGAACCCAACTAACAATGTGAGCAACAGTGGAAAGGCTACCTTAAATGCCCTTCCCTGATAATGAGATTGATGACTACCTTATAAGCCATCATAGGGCCCTCATCTCGTAGCTGATGGAATCAGAAGCAGATACCCACAGCTAAACACTGAGCCAAACTCCTGGAATTTAGTTGCAGAGAGGGAGGAAAAGGGGTCAAGACCAGGCTACCGAAACCCACAGAGACAGCTGACCTGAACAGGGGGAGCTCATGGACCCCAGACTGATAGCTGGGAAACCAGCATTGGACTGACTCAGAGCCCTGAACGTGGGTCTCAGTTAGAAGGCCTGGGCAGTCTAAGGGACCTCTGACAGTGGAACCAGGATGTATCCCTGGTGCACAAAAGGACTTTGGGAGCACATTCCCCATGGAGGGATACTCCCTTAGCCTAGAGGCAGGAGGGAGGGCCTAGTCCCTACTCCAAATGACTTGACAGATTTTGCTGATCCCTCCTGGAGGGCATCACCCTCCCTGTGGAGTGTGTGTGTGTGTGTGTGTGTGTGTGTGTGTGTGTGTGTATGGGGGGGATGGGACAGGATGGGGGGTAGGGGGCATGAGAGGAAGAGAGGGAGAGAACTGGGATTGACATGTAAAATAAGAAAAAAAATTACATATGTGTGTGTGTGTCTGTGTGTCGTTTACAAGCACATGTGGAGGCCAGAGAACAACCTCAAGTGTCATCCTTATTAATGCTGTCCACCTCTCTGAGACAGGGGTCTTCACTGACCTGCAGCTCACTAATTAGGCTAGGCTAGCCAGCCAGGGAGCTTTGGGGAATCCTTCCTTTCTCTCCACCTCCCCAGAGCTGGGGTTACAAGTGTGCTGCAGTGCCCAGCCTTTTTCTCATGGGTCTTGAGGACTGAGGTCAGGTCTTTAGGCTTACAAGGCAAGCCCTTTCCCAGTAGAACCACAGCCCCACCTGGTGTGGATGCTGAGCTTTGCAGTGAACGGTAACGGTTTACACGTGTTCTTTCCCGGCAGTGGGGTGAGCATGGGTGAGGGGAGATGTCATTCTGTGTATGCTTCTCATACTGGTTATGAATAAAGCACTGTTGGCCAATAGGAAAGCAAGATAGGCGGGACTAGGAGACAAGGAGGAGAGAGGAGTAGGAAGGAGGAGTCAAGATGGAGAGTCTGGAGAAAGAACCGCCAGCCGCATCTCGCTGGTAAGACCACGTGGAAATACATAGAAATGGATTAATAATTAAGACAGAGCTAGCCAATAAGAAACAAGTACCTGGCCAACAGCTTTGTATCTAATACAGCGTCTCTGTGTATTAATTGGGGCTGGCGTGGCAGCAGGACAAGACCAGCGGTGGGAGGAAAAAACCCTACTCCTTACACACAGGTTCGGCAACTGAGTGTTGATGTGAGACCTGACCCCCCCCCCCAGCCCAGTCCTTGGTAGATTTTCCAACTACCTGGCTGACAAAGCCGTTCAGCTCATAGGATGCCACCTGCAGGCACAAGTGACCTCCGTACCACCTCCAGCCCACTATGTGACTGTTTCCAGTCCCATGTCCTCATGGCTGTTCCCAGCATGAACAGAAGGCTTGGCCCCAATCTGGCAATCGACTCGCTCATCTACTTGGGCTTCACCCATCCCCCAAGTCCCACTATGTAGCCCAGGATGGCCTTAAACTCACAGTCGTCTTGGTTTAGTCTGGAGTGCTGAGATTATAGGCAAGTTCCACCACGCTGCCCACCTTGCATCTTTTCTAAGCTAGAGAATGCATTTTTGAGGTATGCAGGCTACTCGGCAAACATTACCTTTCTGTCAAAGCCCAGTAATAGCCACTGCATAAACAAGAAAGCCCTACTCCCTACCCACAGCCTAAGCATCTGACTGCAAAGCGGTTGGTAGTCCTCCGGGATAAGCAACAGAGGAGGCCAAATAAAGATGCTCCTCACACGAAGTATGAGATGGGCTCACAGCCAGGTGGGACCAGTGGACCACAATCCAAGAGGGAGGCTGCTGTACTCTAAGGCATCAGA